AAGAAATTGTGAAAGAACTATAATAATATAACAAAAAGAACTACCATTTTAGTAAGGAATAAAGATATATTTTATCATATTTAAGTGTACTTATAATTACAATATAATTTTTTCTTATAGATCATGTCTTAAAAGACATATATTAGTAATATCATAATAAAAGTACTTTTATTAATTAAAAAAAAATTTATACTTATAAGAAATTTTTTGTTTTTTTTATAATTATTTTATATGGATTCATAATATATGAGTAGATCATACGCTATTATAAATCATTAGGCAACATACGAAAATCTTTATTTGATATAAATATTATATACTAAAGTAGGACGTCAAGTTTATATAAGATGAATTTGATGTATTTATATTTTTAATATATAAACAGATATTTGCGTTTATGTTATACATAATTTTATAAAGAAAGAGATGCGTTATTTTTTAAGGGTTCCAATACTAATTCAATAGTGTTTTTAGTTCATGATAAATAGAATGAAAAATATCCAAATATATGTGCACATATAAAACATGAAGATTTTAATAAAGTTACAATTATTATATTTAATACAAAAAACTGTGATAATTTAAAAAAAATTAAAAAGAAGAACAAAAAAATTTGTAAAAGAACGACAAAATCTTTATGTTTGTTATCTGTTAAAAAGGAAATAAGAAAAAAATGATATTTTAAACACCACACACTGTTTCTTTGAATAACTAAAGAAAAACAGCATAATGGAAAACAACTAAAAATTAGATGTTTTAGTGATAAATCATTTTTGATTTAATAGTAGTGTTAATTATGGAAAATTCGATTTTGTGCCTTGCGAACCTTATGAATGATGCAAGTTGGTTGAATTCAAAAATGAGTAAGATGCAAATAATAATTTTGAGTACTATGAATACACGAAAAAAATGATTATGTTCAAACAGTTGTGAAATTTTTTTAAATTGTACTACCAATATTAAAACTCTTTAAAATATATTTTATTCTGCGCATAAAGCTTGATAATATGAAAATACAGAAACCTATTGAAAACCTAAATTCATGCCTTGTAAAACGAATGATAAAAGTGTTTTGTAGGGAATTATAATATTCTCATTTGATAGATTAAATATAGACCAATAAAAAGAATGTTAAAGTCATGTGAATTGTAGAACATAAGTATCCTTTCTGCAAAAAAAAATATGCATTTCATCAGCGTTATATGTAGCGCCTCAATATTCATCTATTATCCGAATTAATGTTCTTTCTATTGTTACAGAAACATTTTATGAAGCATTAAATACATATTATTTTTATCAAGTTGCATATACAATGAGAACTATTATATTGTTATACCTTTACGCTCCTGTAAATACAAATTATAATTTAACAAATAAATATCTCTTTTTTAGTATTTCTAATTTATTTATATTATCTTTACCTTTATTAAAGAAATAAATTCTTCTATATAATATATTAGTCTAATTTTTAGTGAACACTTTACAAAAAATGGGAATAAATAGGAAAAAATTAAATAAAAATCTAAAAGGAATATTTGAAGATACATTATCTTCATATGATTCAGGATACCATTTCATACAATACCACATAATATAGTAATATTTGGTACATTTTCTTGTAGAAATAGTTTTCCATAATTATAAGATGAAGACAGTGTTATATATTGGGTTAATATAAGCATAAATACTAGTAGAGTTATGTGAACAGTCCGTTATCTGAAACAAAATTGGGAATATATTAAATATTGGTTTTAATAAATTAACTTATATATATTATAATAGTATATTTAATATATATATTTTTATCCTTATTATCACAGAAATGGTAATAATGCGTGAACATTACACGTATTAATTAGCATTTATTTCTATATATAATTAAAGCAGTTTTTACGTTATCCTCCTTGTGTCATGTCTAACATTTTCTTTATATTTTTTTATTTAATTAATATAAAACGTCTATGCATTATTCTACACAATATATATATAAAGACACTAATTTATTCCTTATGCACATATATTTTTGTTTTTTTACTATGAAGTAATAATTTTATTTATTCAATTATGGATATAAGCATATTATAATCATTTGAAAATATAAAAGGATTATATTGTTTGATATACAAAATGTTGGTGGTGTTTCTTAAATTATTTAAATATTTATGTATTTATAATATTTTTTATAATAACCTAAACAATTTATATTGTGCATGCATTAGAATTGATATATTATTCATATAAATTAATAAATATTATAATATGATATAATACATTATATTATCAAATATATGAATATTTATATATTATCTGACACATATTTTCTATGAAATATATATAATATATGTATTGCTACATTCTATATTAGGAGTTATTGCATAATTATAGGGTTCACAAACAATTATAATTGGTGTAATGTTTCTAAATGATAAAGAAATATATTTCTAAAAATAAAACTTATCTAATTCAAAAAAAATTATAAATAACTCAATAAATTAATTATATAATCAAATTAAAACATTATGTGTATATCATTATACTTTTAATAGCTAAATCTATTAAATAATATAACGAATTTAGAAGAGTTTTTAAATAATACACAATATACAATTACGTTTTTTATATTAATCATAAATCTGAATTTATGTTATACTATCTCTATATAAAGATAACTATAGTTTTAGATATAATTATAATATTAGTAATTTAATTATAAAAGCATATACATTTAAATTATAACATTATTATGCATTACAATAGAACCATAGTTGAACTATTATATTATACATCATTATTTCATATTATGTATAGGATTATAGAAAAAGGAGTTTGTAACATGATAAAACATGTTATCACATATTATTTATATAATGTATGTTATAATAAAAGAATTGCTAGAGGAAATCTCCTTAGCGATAGCCCTCATCGATGAAGCATTAATATTACAATATTTATGCATAAAAATTTGGAATTATATTTAATATAAGTTAATCATTTATTATCTATACTTTTTTAATATATAAATAAATTATGTTATGAAATAATTATAACCTTATATTAATGCATAATAGATAAAATAATATAGAATAAGTTAATGTAGGAATACTATATATTATTTCGGAGAATATGTGTTTTTTAAGAAAAATGTAATTCTGTAATAATCTTATATTTTAGTAAAACATAATTTATATATTATATGATCATATAATTGTATATCCTTAAGAATGATCATTGTATTTAGGGAATCATTATTTTAATATTTTTGAATAGGATTTAATTATATCATTTATTATTTACATATAATCATAAGTATTTTGCTGTCTATACTAAATTAAATAAAGATGAGTTCTCGTAATTTTTTTTTCAAATGAATACACATAAACCCCATAATATACATGTGTGATTTCATATTTCAATGTTTACATATATTTGTAAATTATACAAAAAGAAGAATTCAAATATTTAAAATAAAAAAATAAAAATGAATGAAAAAAATCATGAATGAAATATATGAAATATTATAATTACTTTAGGGTTAATATCATTTACACTCACAAAATAAGTATAAATCAGGTAAGAGAATTGTATAAAAAAAATTTAAATAAAATTATTATCAGATACTATTAATACATAAAAATAAGAAATATACATATTTATGAATTCAGTTAAAATTTTTTTGTATTTGTTAATAAAAAAAGGAAAATTAATAGAAAAACAACATATTAGTCTTAGTTATTTTATTCTTATCTATTTTTTTTATATTGAAATTTGTATTTTAGTATCAATATTTATTTACTTTAGAAATGTATAAATGTAAAAGGATTAAGATAATGCGTAACAAAGAATAATCCATTTGCATATGTATTTTATTGGTATACTGCATTTTTAACAAGAATATTTATATATTATTTACCGCTAATATTTATTACTGTTATATTTTTCCTTATCTAAATCATTAAATATTAAACCTAGTTATAACATATTTATCTAATTTTTACTTTGTAGTATTATTATGCTTTAAATAAATAAAATTGACATTAATGTATTCTTATCGTAATAATGTAGGCATTTGTTACAAATAAACACAGAAATGGTTCCTTTATATTTCTATATCTGGAAAAAATATATAATGTACTATAAATAATACAATATAAAATATATTTATGAACAATGTATATATAAAAAATTTAAATAAATATATTGGGTAATATATTTTAAGGTTTAATATAATAATATAATTTTATTATATCTATAGCTTACTGTATTAAAAGATTTTATTTAAATAAAATACTATACATTTTTATTGGAAAGTTCCTAATTATATTTTTTTATTAAAGTCCATTACACTACCTTATACATAAAACTCAAAAGAGCATCCGCTATTATATTAATACACAACACTTAGGTGAGATTATATTATATAAGCAATTATATATATAATACAATGAAGTTTAAATAAAAGGATATAGGTCTATTAATTTTTAATTCCTAATATTAAATATGCTTTATAATATATAATTATAAAACGATTCCTTTTTATTTAACATGGTATTCCAGTTGCTATAACTCCATTATTCTACATGAATGGTTTTTTAACAATGTATTTTATTATATTATTATATAATGTTCATCATTTTATTAAATAAAAAATAATTTTACATTTCACTAAAGTTGTTTTTGGAATATATTAATATACAATTCTGATTATGTTTTTTGTATATTTTTTATTATGACATAAAATTAAGGTTTTTATATAATATTAATATTCCATACATTTTGATTATAACATTATATAATGTACATTACATTGAAATATTTCCATATTGATACTTTATTTCATATTTTAAATCATACAAATCTTGTGTTTCTTTATTTATTTTCCTTTTCTATAGAATATATGTATTTATATAATTGTCATTTGTCTTAATTCAATATTTCAACCACTAATATTTTAACTATAGATTAAACTACATAGTATCACTAATTATTCTAAATATATTTTACTAATAGTACTCTGACGAATAAACTATTTGATACTTCTTATCCACTGAATTTTTGTATGTCTCTTCAAATGAGTTCATTAAGTCATTCTGATTTATATAATTTTTTTTTAACATACGCCTTAACGGTTTTACACTCGCTTTTAGAAATGAACCATATGGGGAGTACTGATAATAAAAAAAATATTATTCTTAGAATATATATAAAATTGAAATAAAATGTTTTTATAATACATTTATGCATTATGATGTTTGAATAAATATGAATTTAATGTATATAACTTATATATAACCTTAAATAGTACGAATACTATTGCTAACATTATAAATGGAACAACAATGACTCCTGTCCCTGTTCCTGTCACCGTATCCATTATTGCACTTGTAGTTGTCTCTTGCATTGTTTGGCTCCTTGTACTTGTCTTATTTATTTGTTGAATCATTGCACCTGAAATTGGCTTTTCCGTTCTTTGATCTATTAATGACTTTTGCTTTGGTTCTTGTATGGATACAGGTACTACTGGCTTAGGACATATTTTATAATACTCCTCTTCAAATTTATCAATTACACTCATTAAACTTGAGTTAGCACTAAAATCACAATTTCTTAATCTTGCAATATATTCTTTGCATTGTTCATTATAGCGATTACATACATTGGTATCCCCATTTAATGCATCAAGTGTACCATATAGTTCATCCAAATAATAAAATACATGAGATAAATCCTCTTCAATATTCTTCATCTCCTCAACAACTTCATTACATATATGGGGAACATTTATTAGAGTTACATTTTTCCTGGGGGTTCTCAATATATGGTAACAATTTTTTTCATTAATACAATTACC